GGGGATCTTGGACGACACTTCGGCTTCCTGCTCCGGGCTTTTAGAGCTCAGGGCTTTGAGGCTTTAGGGACTTTAGGGATTCAGGGCACTTAAAGCTTTTAGGGGCTTAAGGGCCTGAGGGGTTTGAGGGCTCGGGGGCTTGAGGGCTTGAGGGCTTAATGCTAGGGGATTGGGGTTTAGGGTTCGGGGCCACTTAGAGGATCAGGGGACTTTGTCAGTGGGGTTACACGCAGCTCTCTAGGGCGTTTCAAGTGTTCTCAGGGGGCTAGAAACGCTTGAGAAGATGATACGCGGCATTCTCTCAACGAGCTGCCCCGTGTAGGAGTGTGGGGCCAGTAACTCTCCCAAAAGGGCTTTGGTGTAGGGTTTGGTTTTTATGGTTCTACGACCCGGAGCATCATAATCCGAAAAATCCTGAAACATCCCGACTCCCAGGTTCAACCCGAGGACCCTACCGGAATAATTAGCAAAAGCAACTTCCACTGCCTGTATGATTCAACTATTCCACAAAACCTCCATACCATCATCCCATGAAGCTCTCAGTACATAAAACCCTGTAAAGCCTCAGAAAAAAGCTCAAGATCGTGTGGAACTTTGACCAAAATCACAATTCTAAGGTTTCTAGAGTTTTGCCCGTTCCTCGGAGGCCTCAAAAGGTGGGATGAAGGTAGGTAGGATGAAGGATCCCTTCTACAAGGGCTCTTATCTGGGGATATCCCACCTACCTTCATCCCACCTTTAGAGCCCTTTGACTTCCACAGCCGAGGAGCGAAGCCGATGGTCGCCGCGTTCACGGAGATGATGAAGCCTGGAAGCACCCAAGAGAAATTTGACCCAGAAATGTACCAAAACCATCCTGGACCCTAAACCATATCACTCTGAACCCTAAACTCTATCCCCAAAGCACCCCCAAAGACCCCCAAAAAAAACAAAAAAGACGCCCGACACTCCGGAGATCGAGTGGCCGATGAAGGAGTCAAAGTACGACGAGGAGATCCAGTTGTGGACGGTCTGCCGCTGTTGGTCGAGCCTCGCTCTGAGGCTCTCGGGTTCGTGACTTTGGGTCTCGGGTGTAAGGTTTAAGGTTTCGGCTTTAGGCTTTAGGGTTTAGGGCTTGGGGTTTAGGGCTTAGGGTTGAGGGGGGTTTAGGGTTCAGGGGATGGGATCGTGATGTTGAGGGTGCGGGATGGTGCGGGAGCCACGGCTCAAAATTTGAAATTCAGCTTGAAGGGTTGGGGATAGGGATAGTCCGAGCCATAACCCTAATCCCCAAACCTCCAACCCTAAACTTGTCTGAATTTGAAACCTGCAACCTTGAAGCCTACACCTACAACCCTCAAGCCTCAACCTACACCCTAACGCCCAAAACCTACAAGCCTCAAGCCTCAACTAAGAATCACCGCACCTCAACAAGCTGAAAGCCCTACTAGGCTTTCGGACGCAAAGTTCAAGAGAGGGGCCTTCAGAATAGGGTTTAGGGTTTAGGGTTTAGGGTTTAGGGTTTAGGGGTTTAGGGTTTAGGGGTTTAGGGGTTTAGGGTTTAGGGTTTAGGGGTTTAGGGGTTTAGGGGTTTAGGGGTTTGGGGGGGTGTTAGTAAAAAGGTAGGCTTTTGCATCATCAGGACTGCAAGGGGATATCCTTTGTCACGATTCCTAAACGGATACAAACCTTTACTTAAAACCCTCGAAGCACCCTGATCAAACTCATGTGCAATGGGCTGCAAAATTCCTGATATAGAACGGTCTGAAATCGGGCAACAACCAGGGACAACTGCAAACTCCACGGACAGCAGCGCCCGAGACCGATTTCTCTACTCCCTGAACCCCTAACCCTACATCACGGAATCTCGTGAAACCTCGAAACTCCTACACCCACATCTAAAAGTAAACCAAGAAGCCGAAAGCCCTTGCAGGAACTCGTATACGAAGACTTGCCCTAGCCCTTTAACCCTAAACCCCCCTGAAACCCTGAACCCTCAAACCCTAAACCCTACAACTATCAGGACCTACTCCGACCACTCTGCTCTCCCAAGGCACATGCCCGGATTGATGCCAATGCTCTTCGCCACCTCGGCAGCCTTGCTGCCCATGTGCGTGTCCAACTTCTCCTCAAGTGCAAGCTTAGGAAACGAGGCTGCCTGCTTATTACCATGATACGTATTCACATGAATATGGTTATCAGTTATTGGTATCATTGCTACTACCATTAGCATCTTTGCAAGTATGGACCATATTGTTACTTGCGTTATTGTGACGACACTAAGATCCTACTGCTTCGAGCTCTAGACGTTGGGGTTCAGGGTTTAGGATGGGACCTGAAAAAGGTTCCCTTGTGTGTTCGGGTTTAGGGTTTGCGGGTCAGAGTTTAGAGTTCAGGGCTCGGGGGATAGGGTTAGAGGTCAGGGTTTGCGGTCTCGCCTTTGTATTTTGAACTCCTTAAAAGGCTTGAACAGCCTCGCCTTTGGGGTTTAGGGTTCAGAGTCTCGGGGCGCAAGGTTTGCCCAGAGAGCCCAATACCCCTCAATTAAGGAATATACCCCAAATTATAGTGGCTTAATATTATGATTTAAGGTATCTTCCTTAATTAAGGGGTATTGGGCTTTCTGGGTGGATCTAGGTAGAATCGAGCACGAGGATCCTCCAAGCTGCTGTAGGCGGAGGGTTTAGGGTTAGGGCATAGGGCCTAGGATTTGCTTTTGGAGTTTAGGATGCTTCATACACCCAGAAACTCCACAACCACCTTCATGATAGAGAAATCTTCGGGGGCTTTCTCGTCTTGTGCGGCAAGATCTCTCACAGAACCTCGAGGTACACGGGGGTGCTTCCTAAGGAGTTTAGGCTTCGTAGCGTAAGCTTGAGATGAACTCGGGGCGTGCTACCCGCCCTGCTTCTTCAGAACCATGGTTTGGGATATGAAAACGAAAACACACTATCCTCAACCCGAAACCCGAAGACTTAAAGCTGAAATCCAGTAAAGCCTGAACCCCTTGAACCCGAAAAAAACCTAACCCACAACGGAGCCACAGGCCGTTCCTGTTGGTATGCCTTGGCCTTCTGCTCTTCCAAGAGCTCATCCGCCTTGCCAGCAAAAACGACAGAATGTGGGCGAGGATGTGGGGCTCGGGGCACCTACCTAAAGCATGAGAAACTACACAAATTACCACTGCTGTGCCTTACGGCTCCTTACTACACTCATGCGAGATTATGTCGCTAAACCCTAATCTAACTACTAAGGCCCAATACTGTACAGGTTCCGTGTTTCCTAAAGCTTTCAGAGCGCGGTCTGACTCCAACAACGATCCTTACTCAAACTATTTAGTCTCCTACTATACTCTCTTAAAACCATAGTAGAAACAATGTTTTTGATATTCTCTTGGGAAAATGTGAACAAAAAGACGATCAAATCCTAAGGAAACTATAGCCTACAGTCGAGCTGCGGGGCCCAAGGGCGTTGAGCTCTTCCGTCTGGCGGTTAAAGCACGGAAGAACTCAATCCTCATCCCTGAACCCGACAGCGATTTAGGGTTCAGACATTCAATTGGGTTTGGAGTTTGAAAGTTTAGGGAGTAAAACATATTCTCTTTCTCTCTCGCTCTCTCTCTCTCTCTCTCTCTCTCTCTCTCTCTCTCTCTCTCTCTCTCTCTCTCTCTCTCTCTCTCTCTAGCTAGCTAGCTAGCTAGCTAACTAGCTGTCTAGCTAGCTACCTACCTACCTAGCTATCTATCCACACTATGAAGATGAGATATGCAAGAAAGCCGAGGTTTCTGTGGTCTAGGGAATCCTGCAATAACACTGCTTATGGTGCTCGAGTTGTCGGGCTTCGGCCGACTGAACATAGCAACCTGTATAAAGAATGAAGGACTTGTAGTAGAGCGCAGCAGTTATCCGGGGACCGGGCAGAAGCCAACTCCTTCACCGCAAAACCAAAACCCCTTCGACTTGAATCCCTCAAACTCCCGAGTGGCAGTTTTGGATTCCAAGGGGGCCTGCTACTGAGAGCCCCCTCTCCACACATCTCACCAGTTCGGACCCCTGGCTGGCAGCACCCCCAAGAAGGAATAGAGCCGGTCTGGTTAAGCAACCCATGAATATCCGCCTTCCGCTCTTTGACGATCTCCGCCAGAGCATTGGAGAGAACTGTACCTCACAGCGGTCGCTTCTCAACCTTTGGGCCTAAGCTTCTTTCACTATAGAGTCAGGGATCTGACTTCTACGGGGCGAAGGACTTGGGATGTATAGGGTCCTCAGTGCTGACTAAGTTGTAGCGATCTGCCCCTATAGTCCCGAGCCCTATTTCTGGATATTAAGGCCCCTGTGCTACGCATGCTGAAACGACCATCTGACACCCTCAAGTTTTCACAGACGCGTCCAAGAAACAAGCCTTCGAACTTTTTTGTCTCGGCTTAAGCCCTACTGCCAACCCAAGAACCCGAAAGGCACCCTGAACAGTACCCAATAATGCACAGACCTTGGACCTTGTCCCAATCCTTTACACCCCTCCAGGTTCTTCCACTGCAGACGGACCACTCCGCCCAGCGCGGCTCCGCATGCTACGGCCTCTCTTGATTTGGGAAGGGCTTTTCGGGCTTTTTGGCTAATGAGTTTTGGAAGACTCAACCTTCAGCTCTCAGCCCAGTGGTCCTTAGAAGTAGGTCTCTTGGTTTAGGGTTTCAGGGTTTAGGGTCTTAGGGCTTTAGGGTCTTAGGGCTTTAGGGTTTTAGGGTTTAGGGTTTTAGGGTTTAGGGTTTAGGGTTTTAGGGTTTAGGGTTTCTGGGTATGTTGCAGTACACGTGTATAGAAAGTTTGCAGGGGCATACCGTTAACGCCAACGCCTCAGCCACAAATTCTGACAACAGCTCCCAAAACCAAACCCGGCACTCCCCATTAAGACGACCTGTGACACCTTCACCATCCCCGTATGCTGTACAGTACCCTAGAGCAATAAAACCTGGCTTCAAGACTTTTATTGCGGGAACTCTCCATGCTTCTATCTGAAGATTGCCAGCGTGGTCTCCAGAATAACATGTTTCACTGGCCCGAGCCTGCATACCCTACTCACCCCCATCCTCAAATACAGGTTCTGAGACCTGCAGAAAGCACGCAAAAGCCGTGAAGTCTAGAACTGTGGTTCAATGATACAACGCCCAGAAACTCATAGCCCTACACTCTAAACCACGCTGTGCCTGTGGCGGTCGGGCCCATCAAGGATCCTTCTCGGAGGTTCTTCTGAGGTGCCTGGGCTAGGGATTTGGATTTTGGGTCCAGGGCCGCAGGTTTGCTGCTTGATACATGGGCCTTAATGAATAGAATCGGGTCGAAGGTATAGTGTCTCATTCTCAAGTGATACGGCCGCTGCTGTGTAGCATAGCATGTAGCATAGCGAAACATTCTGTGGCGGCGCGGCACATATGGCCGTTCATGCACACGCCGTTCATTTATGTAGGGCATTTAGGGAGGGAAGGGAAACACTCTGAATGACTATTCCAACCTCTCTATTGCTGTTTTAATATGTAGGCTGGAAGGGAGCAGGTAGAGAAATATGCATGAGTCCCACTAAGTGGCCTACATACTAAACAACTAACTGGCTCCGTTAAGCGAATCCTTTTTGAGAACGCCTCCTAAACCCGTACACCGCAACACTAGTACCCAAAATCTGCAAGACCCTGAACGCCTGAGCCCACAAAAACCCAACCTCGAGACCCAAAACAAAACCAAGCACCTTTAAATGACCCTAAGCTCTGGGTTCTAAACCCTAGCACACATTGCCGTATGCACAACCCTAAACCCGAAAAATACCCTCAACCCTGGATTCTGAATACCCCCCCGCGGCCATGCGCCGAGAACTCCACTGTGTATAAGCCCCCCTAAAACTTCAACCCTAAACTCCAGAAACCCCAAGCCCCTAAACCCCAAACTCCAAGGCTCCCCAAACCCAAAACCCCAAACTCTAAAAACACCAGAAAACCCAAACTTAAAACCCTAAACTCCCTAAACCCTAAATCCTCAACCCCAAAAGCCCAAACTCCAAAGGCCCCCCTGACTTTCCCACGCCTTCGCTCCGTCGCTGGGCCTCCGCAGCGCGGAGCTCCGGAGCCTCGCAGCGATGGCGGATTTGGAGTTTGGGTTTAAGGGTTTACGGATTTAGGGTTTAGGGTTTAGGGCATAGGGGATAGGATGTTACGGTTTGGGGGTTTAGGGTTTAGGGATTAAGGTTTAGGGGATAGGATGTTACGGTTTGGGGGTTTAGGGTTTAGGGATTAGGGTTTAGGGATTAGGGTTTAGGGGATAGGATGTTACGGTTTGGGGGTTTAGGGTTTAGGGATTAGGGTTTAGGGGATAGGATGTTACGGTTTGGGGGTTTAGGGTTTAGGGATTAGGGTTTAGGGGATAGGATGTTACGGTTTGGGGGTTTAGGGTTTACGGATTAGGGTTTAGGGATTAGGGTTTAGGGGATAGGATGTTACGGTTTGGGGGTTTAGGGTTTACGGATTAGGGTTTAGGGATTAGGGTTTAGGGGAAAGGATGTTACGGTTTGGGGGTTTAGGGTTTACGGATTAGGGTTTAGGGATTAGGGTTTAGGGGATAGGATGTTACGGTTTGGGGGTTTAGGGTTTAGGGATTAGGGTTTAGGGATTAGGGTTTAGGGGATAGGATGTTACGGTTTGGGGGTTTAGGGTTTAGGGATTAGGGTTTAGGGGATAGGATGTTACGGTTTGGGGTTTAGGGTTTAGGGATTAGGGTTTAGGGGATAGGATGTTACGGTTTGGGGGTTTAGGGTTTAGGGGGGTTTAGGGGATAGGATTTACGGTTTGGGGGATTAGGGTTTAGGGATTAGGGTTTAGGGGATAGGATGTTACGGTTTGGGGGTTTAGGGTTTTTAGGGTTTAGGGATTAGGGTTTAGGGGATAGGATGTTACGGTTTGGGGGTTTAGGGTTTAGGGATTAGGGTTTAGGGGATAGGATGTTACGGTTTGGGGGTTTAGGGTTTAGGGATTAGGGTTTAGGGATTAGGGTTTAGGGGATAGGATGTTACGGTTTGGGGGTTTAGGGTTTAGGGATTAGGGTTTAGGGTTTAGGGTTTAGGGGATAGGATGTTACGGTTTGGGGGTTTAGGGTTTAAGGAGTTTAGGGGTTTAGGGTTTGGGGTTTAGGGATTTGGGTAGGCGTCAAAAATAAGGTCCCCGTTCTTGGTACCCTAAAATACTAGGCGTCAAAATTAAGCTTTAGGGCTCAGGGTTTAGGGTTTATAGGGGGGGTACCTAAAATAAAAGACATGGGGTTGGTTGTCAAAATTAGGGGCCCCTTTTTGGGGTACCCTAAAATACTAGGTGCCGTATTATAATAGGGACCCTGTTTTTGACAACCACCCATTTACGGTAAACTCCATAAAGTTGGAAACCGGGTTAAGGCCAAATAGTGCTGGGATTCCCTATACATGACTCTTAAGGATTGAGGCTATGGGGTTTCCAGCTTTTGGGCTTCTACTGTAGAGTTTGGGAAGTAAGTTTTTGTGTCTTTAAGGGCTCCTTTTCGAACTGCAGAGGTTGGGAAGTAAGTTTTAAGGCTCAGGGTTTAGGGGTTTTAGGGTTTAGGGAGTTTAGGGTTTAGGGAGTTTAGGATTTAAGGAGTTTAGGGTTTAGGGAGTTTTAGGGGTTTTAGGGGTTTAGGGGGTTAAGGGGTCAAGGGGCTCAAGGGGTTTAAGGGGTTAAGGGGCTTGGGAAGGAAGCTGGGGATTTAGGGCTTTGGGAGGGTTTGGGGTTCGGGGGGCCTGTGCGGTCGATGCGGCCAGGGATTCCGCAGTTCGAAGCCAAGAAGTCTTGAATTAAAGGAAACACAAGCAGAACGGTTTTTTTTTTGTTGAACTCCATTTTGCGTCTGCCCAAAGGTCTGCAGGAACAAGGCACATGTGCGCCAGGAGACTAGCCGGCCAACTTATGCCAGCCAGATCGAAGACAAATCCCTCAGCAGCCACCCTCATCATCCTCAATCAGAACCATCTGACTTACGCCCTGAGCTTTCATCCTGTTGCTTGGAAGCTTCATAGAACAAGTCGCCGTTCATATAAATGAGGTGCTCAAGGTGAAGGGCTTCAAGTACGTTGGGTCCATAATGATCGTGCACATACCCCCGAGGTGATTTCTCCATGTCGCCAGCGAAGGTAAACTGTCTGAAGTTCTTCATGGCCCAGTGCTGCAACATTGTCCCAAGTCGAACTTCGTGATTGTTCCTTGTGGGCATTCACAGGGGGCTCGGCAACCTCCGGCGGCGTGATCTGCACCTCATCAACCCCCAAACGTAGGTTCAACTGGAGTCCGGTGGCCTGCATCGAAGCCAACGGTACCACAACTTCGCCAAGTTTCTTGTCACCCTGACCGATCTCGAGCCTGAGCACGGTCCTCTGACGCTTAGCGGCATGCATTTCGTCGAACATAGCCCAATCTTCCCAAGTGCGATACTTGGCACTCTCGACCATCTCGAACAGACGGGAGTCCTCAGCTTCCTGGATTGCTTCCACTTCCTCCCGATCCGCCTGTGCTCTTGCACGTTCAGCTTGTTCCCTGAGCTCCGACTCCAGCTGAGAAGCGATCATCGCCAGCTCCTCGTCGTCCGGCGAGTCCGGTTGGGTGCGCCGAACAGGAATCGGTGGCCGTGGTCCATTGGGCTCACCACTGCCTGCAGCCAACACCTCATCATCCAAGTCAGAGATGTTGTCCGGTATGGGCTTCGGGAAGAGTACCGGCATGGGTGTGGTAGGGTTTAGGGTTTAAGGATTCCCGCAAGGGTCCAAGCTACCTGATATTCAAAGACTCCCCAAGCAGTAGCCTCACTTCTACCATCCCGAAACCGAAGACTCCGTGATCGGGTGTCTCGCCCCCTTACGGCTCAATCTTTGAGAACAGAAGCCCTCAGCCAAACCCTGAAATCCTAAATCAAATCCTACCACATAGAACCTTAAAGTCTTTAACCCTAGAGCCCTCAAAACCCTGAACCTACACAAAACCCTAAACTTGCAAAACAAACTTAACCTCAAAACTGCATCGCAGAAACTCAGGTCTGTCGTTCTCCTCAACATCCTGGCAGGTTGAGGGCTCTGGAGTCTCATGATGGGGCCAAGAAAGACATGGGGTTGGTTGTCAAAATTAGGGCCCCTTTTTGGGTACCCTAAATATTGGGTGCCGTATTAAATTAGGGACCCAAAAAGGGACCATAATTTTGACAACCACCTACATGGGATTTTTACATGGTTCTAGAGATTCTATGGGGTCAGAGGAGAGGTTTGAGATGATTCTTGGCGGGTTCCACACGCCCAAAAATAAAAAGCCCAATTCTTCCGACACCCTCTTCTTCCTGGGGCCAGGTCGGTCCCCAGGTCTTTCTGACCCTTTACAGACAGCGCAATACTCGTACATGCAGTACTCGTACATACGTTCAAGGCGGGATGCCACGAACTCCGCTCATGTTTCCAAGTGTCCGGGCCCAAAACCCTACCTGCAGAGCACTTTCAGAGGTGAAGTTGGCTTTCGGTAGTGCATGGGTGGCTGTCAAAATTCTGGCCCCTGTTTGGGTACCCTAAACATTAGGTGCCATATCATAATAAGGACCCAAAAGAAGCGTTGCAATGGAAGCTGCCCGACAACCCAAGTCTCCATTCCTGAGATCCCAATCTTCAGGCCTGAACTCTGCGATCGCACAGGTCTTAGTCTAGTGTTCGGTCGGGTATTTTGGGCTTCGCTTCTACGAATACGACGAGCCACAAACCAAGTAATCATGCCAGGCTCGAACCGAACCGAACCAAACCGCGAGAACCCTGTATCCAGTACTAAGTATTTGTCAACCCTTGTGGAATGCTCGTAGAACCCTGAAAATGCCCCGTAAACAATTTACAAGACCCTTATGGTTTCGATGTGTTCTCACAAACCCCCAAACCCCTGAACTCTAAACCCCTAAACCCCCAAACCCCTAAACTCTGAACCCCTAAACCCCCAAACCCCCATAGACCCTAAACCCCTAAATCCCTGGCCTCGGCAAAGCGCATGTTCCGGAGCTTCTTGCCAGCTTCCGTGGACGGCGGCGGGTTGCAGAATTGCCTGCAGAGGGCTCCGGCGTTTGGCCCATCTGGGGGTTTCCGAAAATTAGGGGTACCTTACTTTGGGGTCCTGATAATAAGGATCCTACTCTTTAAGGTATTATAGTAGGGTCCCCTAGGGGGTCTCCACCTCGCCGTTAGCGAGCAAACCCTTCAAAGCCTATCCCTGCATGACGAAAGCCCAAAAGGTTGCAAGCTAGGCCGCTCCAGGTCCGGCTGCCGCGGCAGCTCATCGTAGGGTTTGGCATCCAAGGCCTCTGCCGGAGTTCGAAAAAGTGGGGATGCTCGAGGCAGAGGGTGGAGACAAGTGGAAGCTGGAGCCTCGAGTTGAGGATGGGAAACTCAGGACTCAAATTCAGAAAACCTTGCAAACTGGGAGAAGTTTCGGGGTCACATGACTTTCCACAGCTTGCTGTTGAGGCTCCTAGGATGTGGGATTCGGGTCGCGGAACGGCAATCGGGTTTAGAGATTTGAGCAGCCTCCGAATACAAAGAAAACACAAGCAAAGAGAAACACAGAGGGCAGGAGAGGGAGAGAAACTGAGAGCACGAGAACCACAAATCCCTGGAGCCCCGAAAGCGTCATGCGTTCTCCTTGCGAACACCGAAACTGATGCGATTCTTGCTTTAAAATTCAAGCCCCACCCATACGACGATGTCCCGAATACTGGGGGCAAAGAACTCTCAACCCTATCGGGCTATGTTGCCGAAAAAACTGCATAGGGACTTCGAAAAAGCAGCATTACGCTTCTATTGCAAACCCCTGTGCTGAAACATCAAAGCCTACCCGGACCCCAAACACCCTACCCCCAAAAAAGGAAGGCTTTTATGGGGTCCCTCCTGTCCAAGTATACCCTGACAGCGCCTTCGAGGTCGCGGACGCCGTCTGCTTCCGACTCCGCGTGGCGATGATGCGCACGGGCCTCGTCCTGTGCACCGGGAAGACCTTGCCAGGAGCGGAGAGCGGAGGGGTAGTTGGGGGATCATGGGACTTAGTAAGTAGGTTATAACTGGGGTTATAAGTCCCCTAAGTGGGGTTATCCTAATTATAACCTACTTATAACCTTACTTACTAAGTCCCATGAGCCTCTGAGTAGTTGGGGGGGGGTTAGGCGTTTTAAGCCTTTCGTGGTTTACGCCTTGTTCGAAAAAGCAAGACAGTCTAAAGCCCGAGGGGTTCGGGTTTAAGGTTTGGTGTCCCCAGCTACGGTGAAGGCTTTGCAGCGGCTTAGGGTTTCAAGCTTTTCAGGGCTTCGGGAAAGAGTCATTGGGGGCATCTTCCGGAAGGTTGTTTTGATTTGCGGTCCGTACCGAGGATCCCATAATTAGGAGAAATCCTTCTTATCCTGCAGAGGCTTCCCAGAGCCGTAAGGTAGGGGCCTTAAGGACTAGAAGAGCGTTCCGTATAGTATATTTACATAGGACTTGACCTCGAATTTGTCCAAGAATCCGCTAGAAACAGCTGAGTCAAGAAGGAGATTCGAAGTTCCAGACTGCTTCAATCTTGAACCTCTGTCTTCTGCACCCCCTTTCCTCTTATCCTTGGGGCTTCAACAAGCAGGTCTTCAAGAAAGTCATCCCTCCTGAGCTGACCCCTCGCCTGGTCAGAGAAACACAAACTACCGAACACGACCACCGCTAAACCCCTAAGTCTAAGGCGTCCTGGAAGAAGCTGAGCTTACAAAAAGCCTACCCAGCCATTCAAACGCTCTCAAGCCCGCACACAGCCAGAAACACACAGGGGCAAAGAAATCGGTCAACAGCTTGGTAAACTTCCTTAATACCATCCAGTACCGATGGATGAGGACACCGAAAGACCCTTTTGACATGAGGGGTTAAGCCATCGGTTAACATTATAGAAAAAATTAGAACCCGTACGATGACATTACTGCTAAATAGCACGCCGTGAAGATCCACCTTGTACTCGTCAGCCAACTGGGCTTTAACCACATGTGGCAGAAGTGGCGGCTCGGTATCCTTGCAGCGGAGCTGAAAGTTCAGCGTTTTGAATTCAATACAAGGACCTAAAGCGTTGGTGTTGAGAGATCTTTTGTAGTATAGCTGCAAACTCTTCATACCAAATAACTTACAATACAGTAGCCTTTTGAGAGCTTGCTTTTGCACTGAAGGTGCAAGGCTTAAAGGCTTCATCTTCGCTGCAAGGATTATCTTGTCGGACTAACTTCTGGCTTTGGGTTTGGTTAGAGGCTGGGTTCAACTTTGGTGGTCCTGGGTGCAGTTTGGCCCGGAACCCCTTATGTCAGCCCTTGTAGAACCCCCATAGAGCCGTTCTTGAAACCGTAAGGAGACCCTGAACCCTCCATGCCCAACCTACGGTGAAACCCAGGCCCGTGCTGCAACCGCGGCACGGGTGACCGGACCTCTTGCCAAGGATCGCCATCATGCGGCATCATGCTTGCTTACTGTCGAAACAGCTTCTTACAAGGCCTCTAGGAGCGTTTCTACGAGGGTTCGATAAGGGTTCAGGGCTCAGGGTAGAAAGTATAAGGACACGTCGGCTTGAGAGGTTCAAGCTCTGGGGTGTGCGATCGCAGGATTCAGACTCTGCTGTCTGGCGTCCAGGGCTCAAGATTGAAGGTTCGCGGTTTAAAGCAAAGGTTGGTTAGCAAAGTCCTGTCCGGCTCTGCTGGTGAACTGCTTTTGGGACAGACCCTAAGGCGGCCGAAGCGATTCACACAGGCGTGAGCTTCACAACCGGAGGCCTAGCATCTCCAACCCACCGTGCTCGAATGCAGAAGCTCTGCGGCTGCACGATTACAGTATAGAGGAGAAAAACCAGCAAACTTGGTAACCTCAATCACGAATCATAGAGCCTGAACCCTAAGAACACCCAGAGACCCTGAGCCTAAACCCTTCACCCATCACCACCCTAACAGTAGCATCTCAATGCAAGCTGCCTTCAACCGTGCCGCCTTGACCTCAACCATCCGAGCTGGCATCTGCACGAACGAGAGGCTTCAAAAAAGAGCGCAATGAACGGCTCGCTTGAACAAGGATGTGCTGCAGGCCTCTGCAGACTTTTTGGTTGAGACTGGCTAGATGTGACCATGTATTGCCTTGCGGGCGAGTACTGAGGGCCTGGGCAGTGTAAGAAAAGGATGATCGCAGTACTTCCCAACACCTTGTTCCATCTTCCCCGGAACAACTAGCACTGCATTCCACAACCCCCGGCTTTTTCTTGCCGCAGCCACAGGCAGCTGCACCGAGGCGGCGGGGAGAGTCTTCCCGTGCCTTGCCATCAGCCCATCGGATACCCCAGGCGCTGCTGGCAGTCCTTGTAGCGGGCGAGGAGCGCTGCAGGTATGGCGAGCGTGGCATTTCTGGCGTTTGCCATGCAGTCTGGGCTGTTGGTATGGTCGTGATCGTCAACCTCAGGAAATCCTTAGCTGCACAACGAAAGGTGGAAGCAAAGCTCATGGAAAAGACAATGAGGCTCATCCCACGAAAGTGCTGGATATCCTGCACCTCACGTTGGCGGCCACACTGAACTACTAAACACTGAAGCCGATGGACCCCACAGTTCTGAAGCCAAAGCTCAAAGCGCCAAACCCCAATTTACACACATCCCTAGCCCAACCTGGACCCCAAGAAACTTACCTTGATAAGTACAACGACATCGCAATCAAGAACCAGGAATATGTGGATATTCTAGAGTCCGGCAAGTATCCTAAAATCTGGCGCGACACTCTCGAAACCTCCAAACCCCTGCACCTGCTAAATCCCCTAAAAACCCTGAAGCCTAAACCCTAAACGCCCCCTTGTGGTACCCTTGTAGTACCCCTTTTAGTTCCCTTCTAGAACCCAAAAGCCCGTACGGTACCCTTGTAGTACCCCTTTTAGTTCCCTTCTAGAACCCAAAATCCCGAACAAGGCCCTTGTAGTACCCCTTCTAGTTCCCTTCTAGAACCCAAAACCCCGAAAAAGGCCCCTGTAGTACCCCTTTTAATTCCCTTCTAAAACCCAAAAGCCCTTATGGTACCCCTGTAGTACCCCCTTTTGGTTCCCTTTGTTGAACCCAAAAAAAGGCTGCCATTTCCTGCCGGAGAGCGGTGGAGGTCCTGTTGCCTCCCAGCCTGGCGAACGAGCTCCCACTCGCCATCGGTCAGAGAAAGGCCTTCGGAAATTGAAAAGGTTTAGGGGTTTAGGGGTTTAGGGGTTTAGGAGTTCAGGGGTTTAGGTTTTAGGGGCTATTTAGGGTTTAGGGGCTGATTAGGGGTTAGGGGCTTTAGGGGCTTTAGGGGTTTGGGCTCTTTGGGTTTGAAGATTTTTTGGGTTTAGGGGCTTTAAAGTTTGCGGGTTTGGGTTTTCGGGTTTAGGCTAGGGCTTGGGGCCAATAGTGGGTTTAAGGTTTATTGCACAGGGCTAATACTACTGGTTTAAGGTTTAGGGCTTAGGGCTAGTAATGGTCTAGGGCTTCGGGTTGTTTATTGTTGAGGGTTTAGGGCTAATAATGGTTCAGGGGTCAAGGGCCGGTTTCTTGCTTGTGGACGTAAGGTTGAAGAAGGCTCCAGAGATCTGGATTCTTGATGCTTGCCGCGGCAGAGTTGAGAACTCAAGGATCGCGATTCAAAGAGTGGGATTTGAAGCTTCGGTTTCGTGCGTAGTGCCATTCTCGGCTCCAAGACGACATCCGAGATTTGGGTGTCCCAAAGGTAGAATGCTCTCTTGGGATTTCGGGTGGGGTTGGCCTGGCTGCTGGCTTCTACTTCTGATTCGACTCTGACCCTTCTAACACCCTATACATAAAGCCCGAAACAAGAGGCTCGCAGCCCAGGCATTCCCTTTGAGAAGCAGCCTTCAGCTCGAACTTGCCCCGGCCTTCGAACCAGAAGGTCAGCAGCTTCTCCAGCTCAACATCAAAGCCATCGGAGGAGCCTCCACACGATAGCTCTTTGCGGTGCTGGTCCCCAAGGTCCCTGAGGTCTTTGGGGTTTAGCGGTGAAGGGCTGAAGTCTCTTGCAAACTCTAAAAACAGGGCATACTGTGCATGACCCGCTTGAACAATATCTCGGAGAAACACAGCGATGTTGAGAAGGGGACTACCTCCTGATAGCAAGACTCCACAGTGAGGATCCGTTTTGGCGCTGACTTCGCGGCTTCTGCTTATGGCTTCCGAGAAGTTTGGATTGGGGGCGTTTGTAGGTTTCGGGCTCCAGACTGCAAGCTACCAAAAATAATAGCCCTAAACCCTAAACCCTAAATGGCCCTAAACCCTAAACCCAAAATGGCCCTAAACCCTAAACCCTAAATGGCCCTAAACCCTAAACGGCCCTAAACCCTAAACCCTAAATGGCCTACCATGCGCTCGTAGTCCACGCGATGGGTGTCATTGGCCGGAGCCTCGAAGACTGCCGTCATCTCCTCCGGGAGAGATGGACTTCTTTGGGGGGTTCCATCGGTGCTTCTATGAATTTCTGGACTTCTTTAAGGGGTTCCATTGGTTTAGGGTTTAGGGTTTAGGGGCTTCTATGAATTTCGAAACTTTCGTAGTGCCTTTGTAGGGTTCTGAAGGGTCAGCTATCGGGCTTGAGAGGGCTTCTCCAAACTCGGTGCACCTTTTTCAGGGCTACATCCTACCATGTAGAGTTCTAAGGAATTCTCCAGAGTAGGACTCTGTAAATCTATATCAGGACCAGGAGTGTTCTTGCAACGGTGCGGGGCGGTTCGGGTTGACAGTCGCGGCTTCTCGCATTGGACTTCCTGTCGGATGATTCTTTCACAAGGAATCCAACTGCTTCGGATACATAACGGAGCCCTCTTCTTCAGAAAACTCCCAACTTTTTGAAGCAGAATACTGCAAGCACCTCGCCAAAAGAACAAGACAAGTTTTGTGTCCTCCACCACTTCCAGCATGCGCTGAGCAAGAAAGGCCACGCCGCCCTCGTCTCGAGGCTTAGCTTTGGGGTGCCTTCGAGCTTGGGCTTGGATGGGTATTTGTGTTAGTAGTAGTCTTAGTATTGGTATTGGTATTAGTATGAGTATTAGGATTAGTATTAATGTGCGTAGTAATATTAGTATTAGACATTTCGGTGTCTCGGCTCCCAGCCTTTCTGGCATAAGTTACGCTTCCGGGGGCTCCGGATCCGCCCCCGACGAATAAACACCGGAACTCGCAACACTGAGACCCACCAACTTGTGGAGAAGAGCAGCTTGGGGGTCCTGAAAAAGCCCGCAACTTTCAGGGGTTTATATGGTTTAGGGCTTACATTTTGGGAAAAGATATTTTTTCCCCAATATGTTAGTGCAACTTTCAGGGTTCGTATGGTTTAGGGCTTCGAGGCATAGTTTCAAGGCTTGGGGACAACACTCGGAGCCTTCGCCGCTTCGGTTGCAGTGCCTGGCAATTAGGATTCAACCCAAAACGCCTGGGACTGGGCTTTGCTGACCAATCCCAAAACCTAAACCCTGGACCCTAAACCCTAGTTATTGTTGGACTCAACATATGGAAACCCGAAGTTCGGTCTGCGGTTCGCGATGGTTTAGTTTGGTCAGGTATCCCCCTCTGGGTGCTGTCATTGAGGCCGGTCCTACGGAATCTTGCAGCTTCATGAAGTGAAGTGAGAGAATCTCGCGGGGGGGGGGGGGGGGGGGACATGCCGGCTGTCCTTGACGTCCATAAACAGAAGCAGCGGAGCGAGAGTCATCAGGTTCCTCGGGGATGTTTCCACAGGACTTTTGTTATGGAGCTTAAGTCCGACATCCCACGCCCGGGGTCCTGCTTGCGTTGGGCTCCTTCGTTCTACTTCAGCATCCTTGCTGATGAGGATCCAGGCTCTAGTGCTTAAGCCTGAAAATTTGGCGCTGAAGGCCTTCGGCTTTCTAAGCCAGAACCCCCCAAAAAAAAACAAAAAAAACAAGAAAAAGTTAGAAAAGATGTAGGACATCCCAAGAGTTCTGGGTTGTGGTGAGCTTCGCCCCAAAGAAGCCTCCAAAGCATCATCCCTGAAGCCTCAGAGCCTTAAGCCTTCCGTCAACTTCGGAGGTCTCCTGGTCCAGGTTTTCAGGGTTTAGGGGGCTTCAGGGGTTTCAGGGGGCTTCAGGGGTTTTAGGGGGCTTCAGGGGTTTTAGGGGGCTTCAGGGGTTTCAGGGTTTGGGGGTTCAGGATCAAAGCTGCGAGAACCTGAGCTGCAAACCTGAAAAACCTCCTGCCCGGGTGATTGAAACTGGAGTTCTAGTTCGAGCAGCGCCAATCCTGCAAGCCCGCTTGGTCCCAAAAAAAGGCTACTACCCCGAAACCAGAGCCAGGGCAAGCGACAAGGGCTCCTGCATCCGAATGTGATAACAGTATGCCTGGGCTTCAGAGGCCTATTGATGGGGGGGATCGGAGCTTTCAGGGCTTCGAGGGTCAAGGTCCTTCTTCGCTGTTTCCGTGTTACAGTTTCGACGGGAATTG